GGTACAGAGGAACCATGCATCGTGAGTTCGCCACCCCCGGTCAGGCTAGAGGTAGAGCTGATTTTGTGCAATGCCAACGCCCCTACTTTCAGCAAATTAGCGCTCTTCCCCACGGTCAGCAGCAAAAGGCTGTCGCAGAACCAGGAAGGACCAGGAAATGTGATTAAAAAAATGTTTCTGAGGTGGTAGAAGACTTGGCTAGAGGAGCATGAGGCTTGTGTGGGCGCCCAGTAGTTTAAGAGCAAATCCGTGCTGAAAAATGAGGATTAATTTCTCCAAAATTGAAAGTTCCTTGTGTTGGTGGTATAGTGGTGAGCATAGCTACCTTCCAAAATTTAAAGTTCCAATTTCCTCATTACAAAACCTGATTTCCATTTTCTCTCTGAGCTAAGTTAACTAAAAACTCCAAAAAACAGGACTCAAAGTTTTTATTCCAAAGATACAGCTCCAAAGAATATCCCAAGATATTATCCGAAAACTTTACTTCAAGTTCCAAAGACCTCGCCTGTCCCTGCCTCACCTGAACGAGCAGCAGCTGTCCCCTAGACGTGCTACAGAACTAATGGGGACGAAAACACGAGACACTTAGAAGTGACACAAATGTGCCTCAAATACTCCTCCTCCTTTAATTCACAGGCCTGGGGAGTTGCTGTGACACTGACTCCGGAGCTGCCCCTCCAACCGCAGTCCTCTTACCGCTAAGGAAGACGTGCTCGGGCGGCTTCCGAATGTCGGACAGAATCACGTTGTCCTTCCCAAATCGCTTCCTACAGGGAAATCAAACACGCGCGTTTGATCGAGGACATAACAGGTCCTATGAAAACAGTCTTTCCAACAGGAACTGTAGTGCCCGTGGGCCTCCAAGTGCCTCCTTTTCATGCCCTTCCTCCCTCTTCGTCCTCAACTCCCACCCTGTCAGTTCCGGCCACGCTGGCGGCTGCATCTCCTGCTTCTGCCCCACCTCGGCAGCATCCCTGTATCCCTCACCCACTTCTCCCTGGTGCCCCTGAGCCTCTCCCCCTCGTTCCTCTCTCCTCTTATCCTTCCCTCCCACTCCCTCCAAATCGCACACTGTTCCTTCTCAGTCTCTACACGCACTTCCCTCTGCCCCCAAACACCTGAAACTCAAGTGACTCATTTAGAGGTGGGTGTCCTATTCTGTTGAGCTTAGAAAAGGCAGAGGACCAGAGTGGGGGACGCTGAGTCAGGGACCTGAAACAATGTCTCTGATACTAACAGGCTCAATGAAATGCATTCTAAACGGGCCCATAGATAACGCTATTGTAAAACGGTCAGGAGCAAGAGGAGAGAGAAAGATTCAGTGGTCCAGTGGAGCCACAGACAAGCTTCACACACCAAAAACCTCAGATTTTCCATTTCAACTCAGGGCTCTTACCTCAAAAAGCTAGCAAGCCCCACTCCAAGCTGGCCAAGACCCCCTGGAAGAAGAAGTAAAATAACAAATCTTTAATGCAAATCTAACCAATTCAATTATTCCCGGAATGAAACAACAGAGTGAGACTCTCCTGGCAGCCTCAGCAAGTTAGGTAGAGCCCCGTTGCCTGATAGATCTCAGAGAGCTTCTCCGAGCCGGGACAGAGATCAGCACAGGCCAGGTCAGTTTCAGAGACAAAGCGCCTCCCAGCGCGGGGTGGCCGAGGGGAAGCCAGGGGGCAGGAAGCGAACAGTCACGAGAGAGCAGGACCACCTCCTGGCTCCCCGGGCCAGGAGTCCATGACCAGCATCGTCTTCATCACTTGATGGGCTAGGAAGCAGAATACTCAAAGCCAGATATGCCAGTATGAGATCAGCCTCTGGTGGGATTATCCAGAGCACCCTCCTCCATCAGACCCACAGTGGGACAGGAAGGGGGAAGCGAGGGGACAAACGGCACCTAAAAAAGGCCAAATAACTGGATGGACAAGGAACTGCTGAGAACATTAAAAATGAGTATTAGAGCATCCTAATTTGGAGACTTACAAATGCCCTTGGTGGAAATGGGAGCGCTGGGGGTCCGGGGGCACACATGGGGGATACAAGTGTAAACTTCACTTGGGAGAAATTAACGAAGCAGGAAGATACAGAAAGCGGATTTCCTGTCAGCATGTGTTAACAAGGGACTACAACCAGCCCAGTGACAGTAACCCTGGTCCCTGGAAGATGCTGTTGGTGGAGAGAGGAGGGAATCAAACAACACAGACAAGAAGCTGGGCAAGTGATGGGGGGGGAATGCAGAGGGAACAGACCTTCCTTCCAGCCCATTTACAGCAGGAGAGGAGGTGGCGGCGGCAGTGAGAGAGACAGACAGACACACAGACACAGACACAGACAGACACACACACACACACACACACACACACAGAGGAACGGAAGAAGCACAATGATGTGAAGCCAAGGGACAGAAATCTGGCAAAGAGAGGACAATAAAACATGTCAATCAAAATCAGAGGCGGGCTTGGGTGGGCTAGAAGGACCTGTGGACAGACAGTCAAGTTTGCAGTGAGCGGGGAGGGGACAGTAACAGGTGTTGGGTGGACACAGGGTGAGGAGGGTCAGGGAGCAAGTCTGGCCACAATAAGATGCAGGCAACACAAGGTGCCAGTGAGGAGCTCCTAGGACAGACGCTGGTTATCTCCTTCGTCTCCAGCACACAGCCGAACGGAGACCACCTGGGCCGAGAAACTTGGCCGAGGAAAGACGCACCCGATTCCAGAGTCTTCAGAGTCCATGTTCTGCCCGTGACCCTTGGCTCCTAGGCCATTCCTGGCAGGAAAGGGGAACCAAGTCTCACTGCAGCTTTTCGGCCCCCAGGTTCCTAGGTCTTCCCTTCAGACAATAAAAGATTTTGGCTGGGAAACCAAGCCTTGGAAATAGTGTCAAATTAAGAACTGGGGACTTGCAACATTCCAGAAGAAGCCAACAGTGAAAAGAGTCTCTGATTAGTAAGTGTTACCCGGTGGCATGCTAGATGTTCCAAAAACAAATGCACAGACACACAGAAGAGAAAAGAACGAAGTCACAAATGTGGAAAAAAGAAAAACCCAACCTGTAATTAAGACACGTGGCGGGTCTGCTTCAGAGAACGAGGTGGAGTGGAAGTTGGCATCCGCTGGAATCTGCCGAGGGGAGGTGCCCAGAAACCGGCAGGGCAGGGCAGGCGTCCGGCAGCCACAGGCCGGGCCCTGCAGCATCCGGCCGGCAACCTCCCGCAGCATCCTGACCACCGGCATGCTCGCGGCAGACAGCCTGGAACGCAAGAGGAGGAGAGTTCAGTATAGAACTGCTCACTCTCCCGACCCCTCGAAACACAAACTCGTTAACCAAAACTAACACTAGGATCGCCAGCTCGTGAGCAAAACCACGTTCTGGATTCACGAACCAAACTAAAGAGACCGCTGAGTGCGCCAACAGGGAGCCGTTCAAGAGCCATCTGCAAGCCCAGCCCTGTGACAAGGGGATAAACGTTGCTCGTGCAAAGTGCAGACAAACAAAGGCTGGCCAGATTTAGAACTGGAGCCGTGCAGTGCTGACATCAACTGGGATCCAAAGCCACAGAGGACGTTACTGTGTACAGAGCGGTCCACCCCAGAGACACCAAGTCACGGATCCTAGCGAAGGCCTCAAATCTCTGCAACTGTTATCATCTGTCCACGCACCACCGAGGTGCAAATGGGTCCCAGATTCAGTAGCACAGAGTCCTGTAAATCTTGCGCTAACTCAGATGTTATCTTCAGGATGAGCCAAACAAGAAAAGAAAACGGACAACATAAAAAGGCCCCCAGCAATGTTTATTAAGCTGTAACTAATTCCCGTTTCACTGCCATCTCTTTAGAAAGATTCAGTTAGAAAAGCCATTTTCTCCTCTCTTCCCAGATCATGGGTATTTTATTTTAGTTCAGCTCCTCTTCCCTGTCTGCTTTACCCAGGCAAGCACGTCACAAGAGTAACTCAGAGCTGCAGGGGTTGCTCCACTGGTTTTAACAGCGGCCTTCCTGCCCGGCCCTGGGACGTCAGGCCTCTGCCCTCTGCACACAGCCCTGTGACCTCCACCTCCGTCAGCTGTAAGATTTCTAACAGGACCTGTACCGGAGCCACGAGAGTCCACTCTGGTGCCCAACCCCCTCGCCAAGAAACAGCCAGATCTCAATCATCTCACATGCTGCATCATGAGGAGAAAAAGGTAAACCACCACTAAAGTCAGTTCCCCTTTAAGATCTGAACTGAGCCTGGTGTCACACTCAACCCAGGGCCTGGAGCAGGTAGCAGAATTCTAAGTTAAAGCGCCAGATGCAGCAGGACCTTTCCTGCAATCCCTGGAGTCCTGATTATAGAAAACAAAAGGAAAAGACAATCTTCTGAAACCATGTGCCTTCACACCCTTTCCTGAGCCTCCGCAGTCCTGTTCTTCTGGACACTGAAATAAGGTGTGGCTTCTGTCGGGTCAGTGGCTTGGTCCCTGAGGGTCCCCACCATCAGACGCAGCCCTGCCGAGCTCCTGGGGGCCCTTCATCTGGTTAACTTTCCCACATAAGCAGAGGACAACCTGCTGCTGGTGCATCTCAGGATTGGAAGGGAGGCGTCCAGGGTGGTCCACATTACAGGAGAGGCCCGCATTTTTCTTCAAACATCTGTTTAAATCATCCGTGCGGCCGCCGTCGACACCTGAGAGCAGGTAAGAACTCTGATTCTTAGACCCACTTATTTCAGCAAGTTCAAGGGGATGGTGAGGAAGCCATGAAGCAGCTAGATTTACCAGAACGTGTAAAACTCAGAGGCAGTTCCCACTTCCCAAAAGCAAAGAAATGACGGCCACAGGTGAAAAAGTTTGTTTTCCCTTTCAAGTTTGAAGAGGCTGGAGTCAGGGAAAAGGCAAACCCTGAAGATACAAAATAGGTGCAACTCTATTCATCTTTTCTTTCCCCAAAAGGGAAAAGCACGAAGGAGGCTCACATTCTTGGTTGCATATGAGGTATTTTAGTTTAATGAGGACAATTCATGATTGAGCTAGTTCTCATTCCGCTACTATCACTAGCCCACATTGGATGCTCCCTACATGCCACAGGCCTGTATTACAGCATTTAACCATGGCAACCACCATCCTCCTCGGGGAGCCCAGTTCTTAACCGCCAAGCGGCACTGTTGTCCATATTATGGGACTGCTTTGATTAACAGTGCATGGACAGTAAAAACAAAACCAAAAAACCCCCCAACCATTCACAGCATGTATCTATTACAAGTCAACATTATTATCTTGCCACTGCCAAGTTCAAATTAATAATTTTAAGGCAGCAGTTCTCAACTTTTCTGGTCTCAGGGCTCCTTTACACCCTGAAAAATTAAGGACAGAGAGCTTTTGTTTACGTGGGTTCTATCTAACAATATTTGCTGTAACAGAAAGCAAAACTGAGAAATGTTTAATGCATGAATTCATTTAAAATCAACAAACATGTTAGCAAACATTTTTATGAAAATAACTATATTTTCCAAAACAAACAAAAATTTACTAAGAGTGCCACCGTTTTACATTTGTATGTCAGTCTTCCTTGAGAGAAGACGGCTGATTCCCACATCTGCTTCTGCATTCAGTCTGTCTGGTGCTTTGATTGAAGTAAATGAGGAAAATCCAGACTTACATGGCAAAGCAGTGGGGAAAGGCAGCAGCATTTTAAAAGCCTCTTCAGATAATTCTGGATACTCATCTTGGCTCTCCCCAAACTAAACACATGGTAGTTTCTTAAAGGTCAGTTGCAAGGTGGAACCTGAAGCCATGATCAGTGAACCTTTTGTACCTGTTAACTTAAAATCCACTGGTCCATCTAACACTTTGAATAGGTCTTTTACTTCTGCATGATTTTGTAATTTCACGCATTGGTCTTTTGGAAAATATTGTCTCAGGGAGTCATGCAGAGCTTCCAAATGTTAACACACTTTACTGCACAATCTCAAAGTCTTCCTGGTTGATATCACTGATCTCATCAGAAAATCCCTAAGTATTGAGAAGCTGTCAAGTTCACAGTAGTGGGTATCAGTTAATTTGCAACAAATGCCATTTGTTGTTTCCTTGACAGGCTCATTTGGTTCATTTTTTAGAAAATGTATGCCGATTATCCAGGTATGCCGAATAACCACGGTTGGTCAGTCATTCTTTCAAGCAAAAATGGTTCTTCATGAAAAAAAAAGTGGCTAGTTTAGCTCACAGTTCAATGCTTTATCTCAAGACAACCATCATATTTCAATCATCCATTCTCACATGACACACTAAAAAGATATGTCTCAAGGGTCAAGATTTAGTAAAGCTAATCACTTTTACTGTTTCAAAAAGGGCATTCTTAAGCTTTCAAATTTTTATTTTATATTGAAAGCACACAGCAGTGAAGAACCCCATGGCTGTCCAGCCTGGTACCACCACTTGACTTGTGCAGTCGGTGTAACCTGTGCACCGTCAGCACAAATTCAACACAGTTGCTCCAGAATAAACCATGACATCCAAAAAAAAAAAAAAAGTTATTCTATACTGACTACTTTGACACTGTTTGTCACCAGCCACTAAAAAGATATTCTTTGGTGACTGGTTGGCACCGACACCAGATGAAGACAAAAACGGTAAGTCCTACCATAGCTACAAACTCTTCCATTTGTAAGGTGAAAATATACCTCTAGTCAGTCTTCACGTTTGCAGCTAAATCTTTAATTTGACAAATCCCTGTATTATTAGAGGTGGCAGTGCTCTGATTCCTTTCAATGCTTTTTCATCCAAGCAAGGCTTTATTGTGTGTTTCTCCAGGCACTGCAATTTGATAACCTATCCTTGAAGACACTTCAATAGGCTTTTCTTTTCTAGTTTGGAAAGTTGTAACAAATAATTTTGGGCTTTTAAAGAGCTCATCATATCTACATTTAATTCATTCATCTCCTTTTTCTTTACATGACGGAATGGTTGGTCTCAGAATAATGCTATTGCCACGAAAATATTATTTTTAAAAGTTCGGTGGCATGAGACATAGAAGGTAAATTTCTAACTTCTGTAAAGCTGAGGAAGACTTTCACATTCTCATGGATTAGTTTTGCACATTTATCTGGAGTAAATTCTGTTTCCATGAGTCAGAGAACTGTTACGTCATTTCATTTTTTTTCCCAGTATTTAGAGACATAGATGGTACAGTTTTGAGTTGAAAAAAAAATCAAGTTCTCTAATATCCCCCCTTTTAAGCCAATGATCTATCCTTAAATATAAAAACATATAATACCCTTTTATTTTAGAATAAAATATTAAGTTCAAAAGAATTTTTGTACCATTTAAAAATTCCGAAGTTTTCACATCAAGACTACAAAGTATATTTACTTTTTGTTATTTTTCCATCTAGTCACAAAGGCTCAACTTAGGCATTTCAATGTATGACTTATTAAAAGCAAATGAGGCCCCAGAGATGACAGCAGGTGTAACTGAAGGCAGCTACTAACAATGCACACAAGTGCTAAGAACAGACAGAGTTCATCTCTGAAAATGCACATATTTATACGCTAGGCCTACTATCCTCAGAAGATTCTAGAAACACAGAAGCACTACCACACATCTCATTAGCCATCAGAGGAAAAGCTCATTACCAGTTACACAGCCTCTGGAAAACCCCATCATACACCTGTGAGAGAAAAAAAACGAAACAAGGCAAATAATAGTATTATTTTTATAATAGTTTTCACCTCATGGACCCTACAAAGGTCTCAGGGAACCCCAGGGTTCCCCAGATCACACTTTGAGAACAGCTGTTCTAAAGTAAAACTTGCTTTGCCAAGCGAGTTACTAAACTGACAGAGGGAAACCATCAAAGATGAAAGGTCAGATTTCCATTTTAAATAGTCCGTTTACCTCTTCTGCATTAATTCTGAGAAAGCAGTGACATCATGAAGGGGGTGGTGGGGAGGGGATGGTGGAGATACAGACTCAGCTCAACTGGCTTTGGCTGGTGATGGAATAGAGGACACCGAGGTCTCTAAGGTGCACTGCTGCAAACCTGGGCTTCCTGGAGAAGCAGGTGAGGGACGAAGACAAAGAAGCTTAGTTCTGAGAGTGTTGGTTTCAGGTGCCAGGACAACACAGCCACCTTTCCTGTGGAGCTGAGCTCTGCCAAGCACTTCCAAGAAGTGCCAGGCGCACTTCAGAGCTCAAACACTGTGTCGAGCAGGTGGACAGAAAGGAGAAACTAAGAAATATCAGGGCTTTGTCTACACCACAATAAACAGAATGCCCCCGTTGTCAGAAAAAATTACTTCAGTTTCTTAGGGAAAGAAAAAACTGTGATTGTGATTGCTCTGAAAACAGGTAATTCTATTTCAGGAATATTAAAAGAAATGCCAATTTGAAATATTGAAGACCAACAAAATAGGCCTTTTTCCTAAGGGTGCACCATCAGTTTCCCTCAACGTTCTCTCTATCTTGTGATTTCCCCAAATTTCTAGTTCTAGTCATTCTCAGCAGGGAGACAGTAAATAAGGATGTATTAAGTAATGTCTCCAGCACATTAAGCAAGACGCTAAAAGTATCCGACCCCCAACAGATGAATGGATAAAGAAAATGTGGTACACATATGCGATGGTATATTATTCAGCCTTGAAAAGGGACGCTGTGTCACAGGCAACAAGATGCAGAACTTGGAAGACATTATGATGAGTGAAATAAGCTAGTCACAAAAGGCCAAATACAATATGATTCCACTGACGACTTATAGGAGTGCTCTTAAGTAATAAAAAAAATCATAAAAACAGTAAGTAGAAAGGTAGTTGCCAAGGGCTGGGGAAAGGGGGAGGGGATTCTACTGTTTAATTAACAGGTGTGGTTTTAGTTTTGCAGCATAAAACAGTTCTAGAGATCTGCTGCACAACACTGAATATACTACTGAGCTGTATACTTAAAAATGGTTAAGATGGTAAACTTTATGTTATGTGATTGAAACCACAATTTAAAATAAAAAAAAAAAACCTGGCCCTAAGAATTGGTCGCTGCATACATATATTGCTGAGGACCTAGAAAATTCACGGGGTGGAGATGAATGCTGCTCCAGAAACCCATCAAACCCCAGTCCCTTCCAAACTCTCAAGCTCACTCACTGAACCCCCTAAATGGTTCTTTTCCCTCTGCTTATAAACCTGCTGAAATCTTACTCCATTACTCGTCTTTCCCTTTCCCTCCAGTCTTAGGGGTGTCCAGAGTGTTCCCACGGCCCCAAACCCTAATTCCCTGCCCCTCCAAGTGGGGTGTCTTGCTCTGAACCCCGTGAAACTGCTTTCACCAAAGGTCAGCCGCTGCCCAGCTGACAACTTCCTGGCCCCAGTGCCCTCTCCCAGTGCTGACCATACCCACCTGGGTTCCCCCGCTCTCTCCCTCTGCTTTAAGGACCACTAACCCTTGTAAGACATTTGGAAAGGCAGTCTCCACTTTACATCCGCCAGTCCACTAAAGCATAACAACAAATGTGTCCTCTTCAGAGTAATGATCCAAGGAAAAATCAGGCACCTCAACGACTGTGCGCTGGAGACGCATCTGTTTTCCTGAACTCCTATCTGACCCTCACAGGAACTGTGAAACTGGGATCTTTTCTCCATTTTGCAAGATGAACTGACCCGCCCAAGGTCAGGCAAATACTGACTATCAAAAGAAGGGGGTGGAAACCAGGTCCTTTGAGTCTCAAACCTTGCTTCCACCACCCCTACTCTTCTCCCTCAAGAGAAAACATCAGGTATCTAAGACAGGACAAAGAAGAAACTCTCCGTCGTACCGCAGGGGCACCTTCCCCACCCCGCCCCTCCTCCCTTCCAGCTGGGCTCCCCCTCCTCCCCAGGACAGCACAGACCCGACCAGGGGGTTCAAGGCCAGACACGGCCTCCCTCGCCGTGCGTCTGCAGTCTATGTACACTATCTTGCGAAACCTCAAGTTTCCCCATCCTTAGAAAGGGGACAATGACAGGACCACCATATTGGACCGTTCAGAGTATTTGATAAAAGCAATTTATAAAAGCAGTTAGCAAACTGCTCAGTCCGTGTAGACTCCATCAACAAGCTGATAAAGTCCACACTTAATACGGGGATAATCCGAAAGCCAGAAATGGTCAGGGGGAAGAATTCCCGGAGCCCTAAGCGTGAGCCACAGAGGGTGAGTCTTAAACGGAGGTCTGGCTCTGCGGAGAGGCGCCCCACGCCCTCTCATGCACACCTGCCCGGCAGAGGGAACTCAAAAAGACGCGGGGACTTGAGACGCACGCGGGTCTCCGGCCTCGGCCTGCCGGCTCGCTCTGGAAAGGGAATGGGGCCACCCCTCTGCGGGAAATGACTGGATAAACCGGTTTTATGAGAAGAGCCGCTCCCACCCATATTTCCTGGCAAAGGGTGACCTTCCAAAAAGTAAGAAGGGCCGGGTGCCACGTCTG